AACTAATCACCAAGTGAGTGATGTAAAGAGAAATAACTAAAACACCCTTAAATACAACTTTAGTTTGTCCTATGTGATGTATATTTGCACAATAATATTCAAGTTCTTAAAAATTGGTGACATGCCACGATTTCGAACAAGTGTTTCCTTTATTTTTACTTGGTGAATTTGCAAATCTAACCCTGGTGTGTGAATCCAAGGGTCTGTTTGGATAATCGGCAAGGATAGGAATGGATTAGATTTTTTGTATCCTAACCCATCCCACCCAAACCCATTCAGGCACTTAATTATATGGGTTATGTACACCATCCAACCCAAACCATTGTTTGGAAAGGAACAATGGAATGGGATGGAATCCACTTGACTTTTATAGATATTTACCATTGTACCCTTTGATACCCATCGATGAATCAGACCTGTACAGAAATGCCACCACCACATCAGAACAGAAATGCCACCACCACAACAGAACAAAACACCCACCACCACAACCACAACAGAACACCCACCACCAAAACATAGGGATGATGAATTAGGGCTTTGCGGTGATATATAGCCCTCAATCTCTCTGCTCAAGCAACAGAGCTTTCTGTATTTTGTCACTCTCTCTCTCATCTATTTTGCTCTCCATTTCTAGAAGGAAAGATGGGCAAGGGTCCTGGTCGTGACATCGGCAAGAAAGCCCGAGATCTTCTCTACAAGGACTACCAGACCGACCACAAGTTCACAATTACTACCTACTCTCCCACTGGAGTGGCTATTACTGCATCAGGAATGAGGAAAAGTGAGTTATTTCTGGTTAATATCAATACCCAGTTGAAGAACAAGAACATCACTACCGATATAAAAGTACAGTAGTCACCACCACCGCTGCCACAACAGAGACACCCCCGCCACAACAGAACCACCACTGTCACAATAGAGCACCCACCACAACAGAAACGCTATCACCACAACAGAACAGAACACCTACCACCACAACCACAACAGAACACCCCACCACAACCACAACAGAACACCCACTCCGAGGTTAGGGGTGGTGCTGGTGAAGATCTCTTCTTCATTCGGTCCACTCCGACACCCAAACCCATCCCAGCAAAAGCCCTAGGCTCAGGCTTTGTCGCCTTCAAAGAGAGAGAGAGGAGACAGACAGAGAATGAGAGCCAGAGGTCTAGAAAGAGAGGAAGGTGGGTAAATATGTCATTACCCTTCATAACCCGTCGGCTGGGATTGAAACCCAAGATGGAGGTGGGTTAATTTTAACCCATGTAACAGGGTTAAAAATCACTGTAGCATCCGGGTCAAGGATAGACCCAGGATTTATATCCTGGCTCAATTTTGACTTCCCAAACAAAAGTTTTGTTGGACCCATTGTCTTATTACTCTATCCTTATGGAGGTTAACCCACCTTAACCCACTACACAAACACACTCCAAGTGTTATCTTACCATTGCTATTTATTTTTCTCTCCTCCGCACCACCTAAGTTCATTAGAACTACCCTGAAAGCCTATAAAGTTATAAACCCTATAAAACCCGAAAAAAATTTGAAATTTTTCCAACAAAGGGCAAAATGGTAATTAATCACTATAATACAGAATTAAAATACGCATTCTCTAGAGCTTGTATGACTCAATGGACTTCGCCGTTGGATTCGTGTTGCAAAAACTAGTTACCTTATCGAATTTCGTTGAATTATGAGATAGTCGAATTTTTACACGTAATTCGAGACGACTAAGTGGCGAATGACCTTTTAAAGGTCCCCAAAAATGAGTTTTATAAAAATTTCTTATAATTGGATAAAAGTTCAAATAAAATTAATTTGAATTTAAACCGGGATGAAATAAATCATTTCGGGACGAAAACGAACCCGAATAAGTAAGGGGCGTGTGGCGCGACTCAGGCCAAGTCTTCAAAAATATAATAGGGGTTAAAATGAGATATTTCAGTAGAAATATCTCTGCAACTTCAACCAAAAACGTGTGAGAGAAAGAGGGAGAGAAAAGGGAGAAAACCAATCTTCCTTCGCCGATTCTTGGAGTTCCGTCAATCGTAATTCGTCGAGCCAAAGTTAAAGTTCATATCATCGACGAGGGCTACGTGTACGTACCAAAAAGAACTGATTTTTCCGAAGATCCAAAGAGAAAATTTTGGAGAAATCAAGATTTTGGGTTTAGGAGGTGTTCTTGAGGCTTCCTACCATTTCTACTACGCTCCGAGAGTTAGGGTTCTTCCTACTTTGGTTTTATTTCTATATTTTGTACTGATTTTTGGGGCTGCTATGTGGCCTATTTTGGGGCGGTTTTGTGGCTGTATATGGGCTGTTTTGTGGGCCGTATATGGGTTATTTTATGGCTTGTTTTAGAGGCTGTTTTGTGGCCGGATTTGGGGCTGCTATGTGACCGGTTCAGGGGCTGTTTTGTAGCTTGTTTTGGGATGCTATGTGGCTGGATTTGGGGTTGTTTTGTGGGCATGTTATGTGTTTACTTTATGCCTTGAGCATTAAGTGTGTTATTGCTTGATTATGTAGTAACATGCTTAGGGATTGTGTTCGATAAAATGTTGATATATGTGTATTAATATATTGACATTGTGATAAATTTTTGGAGATTATATGCATATGATATAATTGTCCATGATACATGATAAAATGTGTTAGAAAGAAATGTTAATATGTGCTCATTGAAATATTGACATTGTAATAATTTATGGAATTTATATGCTTATGATATGAATTGTCATGGAACATGTAGACATGTGATTTAAATTGCTCAATGGGCATTCATTACCTTGGGTATGATGTTGGTAGTGCAATAGTTTATTACATTGCATATGCATGGAGAACACATGGCATTTCATGGGTGTGAGTGCATGGTTGGATCAATCACTATACTTGGTGTATTGATGGGTGGGCTCAGAAAAGTGGGGTTGAATATCCTACTAAGTCGCACGGTTGTATACATGAAAAACTTGTGTCGGTTATAGCAAGAAAGAATAGATCCCCCCTCGGGTGCAAGGCCCGGCCACTGGTTTATACACTTCCTACGCTGCAAGTCTAAAAAAGTGTATCGGTATGTGGAGCCCGCGGTGCAACACCAAAAGTCTACTACCCAAATAATGACACATAATTTTTGGTTATATAAATGATTCATTTGATGGGAACCATCCAGAAATGAATTGATTTTATAAACACTTGATTTTTATCTTCAAAGATGATCATTGGATGTATTTCATCAATGACAAGGATTTTTACACTTGCATTGCATAGTGTGGAGTTAGCCGGCGAGGGCTCGGGTTGATGTGCGTGAGTGAATCTCATTTCATTCATGGCATGGCATGGTAGATTCCAACATGAACATGTATATTCTTGTTTGGAATGATTGTGTAAATGGTGAATGTTGTATGTGAACATTGCACGTGCACTTAGGTGGGGAATAGCCTCTGTAGGACTTATTCTACTGGGCGTGGCTCACCCTATATGGTAAAACATTTCAAGTGCGGGATATACGCCGATGGACGGCTCTCATTCGGGGCCACAAGAGTGAAGAAAGCAGACTTGTGGCTTTTATAACTCCTTTTGTAAAACTTTTGGAGCAAACTAATTTTGGCATGTAATTTTATGTAACAGAGTTGTAATTTAACTCATATGGACTGTTTTTAATATAACCTTGCATGTTTTTATATGAGTATGGATGAATGGACCTGGTGTGGTCAAATTTTACTCATAAATGGACCCGGTGCGGTTATTGTTCCATATTGGGCTTCGGATGGGTCATATGAATGTATATTGCACAGGTTGAATTTTGGGTAGAGCTCCCCGTACAAAGGAGGCTCTACCCGAAATTTGTTAAATTATGGATCCCGGTAAATGGGATATTACGGTGTGATATCGAGTTATTCGGTATCCACGGGTATTCCGCGGGTTGACGGGTGATCAACGGACCCCCAGATTTTGGGGTGTCAAAAACCCTATCCTGCACGAAAATTAATATGGGTTGAGGTAGTCAACAAAATATGGTGGTTGTAAGTTGTAAGTTGTAACACATCAAAGCATACAGCCCTTAACACAACAAAATGCCGAAAAAAGTTTCATATGACCTTCCCCAAACAGTTTAAGCAAGTCATTGTAGACTCTAGTTCAATTACTTGAGTTTCTTTCAACGTGTAGCTTTACGAACATCTTGCGAGTTTAACATTCATAATATAACCTAGAACAAAGGTTATATATAACAGTGTGTCCTCGGAGTACCCATGCACTTCTATAAAAGATAAATTCAAGAACACAATCTTCACTTAATTCTCTGGAAAAAAAAAAATTTTAAAAAGTGAAAAGGAAATCTAGTATATGTTCCAATCAAATGATCCTTATGACCTATATTTTGCTTATAAAATTTAATTTGCAACATTCGAAAAACTTTCCGTTATATACAATGCCACAGTCATACATAAATAACCACATGACAGTCGGTTAGTGAAAACAGGAATGTTTGTTCTCAATGTTGCAGAATAAACATGGCCCTGGGAATGGGATAACTAAAAGCTAAATCTTTAGTCTTGATCTGAAGATTTCTTCAACAAATCTTCATATTGAGCTCATATAATCAATTTCTTACAATTGTATGAAACAAATATGGTAATTATCAACAATATTTCATGTCCAATAGAACAATTCTGATATTATAAACCAGCTTACTAAAAAAGCTTGAAAGATTTCTTCAACAAAACTGCCTGCTTAACATTATCTAATGGCATGTCTACAACTCTATCAAGAAAAATGGCAACTATCACCGTATAGAACCCTAATACATGATATAACTAAAATCAAATAATTAAGATCTTCTATAGTGCGTCATTGCAAACACTAAACCACCTAAAAAATAGGCACGCAAGGCATAAAGAGATGGCATATCCAGGCAACTAACTCAATCTAATTTCTCAGATAAATATCATATTCCTTGAAAGCTCACCAACAAATAACCATTACAAACAAGAAGCTAATACCTGCTGAGGCTAGCAACAGACAAACCAAGATCTAACGCCTCTTTGCAAACATGTGAGCCAACAAATCCATTTCCACCCAGCACGAGTAACTGAAACAAGAAATGAAAAAATCTCTACATATGACCCTGGATGCAAACGTCCACCATTTCCTACGGTAATATAGGAATTTATGCCCAACACCATTAGAATACCTTTTCTGTTGGAAGTGGGGGCATATTTATTGTCTCAGCTTCCTCAACTCTAAAAGGTTCATCAGTTTTGTTAAACTCTGTTGACAAAAATCTAGCATTTCTGAATGCAGCCATTGTACCATTCCAGATAGAATGAAGAAATTAGTATGATCACTAGAAAACGATCAACATAATAAACCTAAAAGGCTAAAAGAGAAGGAAGCTTATGTGATGATGATCCCCATAAAACCCACCAGTCCACAACATACAAAATACATTTCCAATTTCATTGCCAACATATTAGATGTATCTTGAGAAAAAATACCAAAAAATACAACTAAGTTTTGAAATTCACAAAGGATTAACTATGAATTAGACTCTAGCACCAATGATTCACAGCACAGAGGCAGAAGCATGGCTGGTCCTTCCACAGTGGGTTCAACATTGGATTTTCCACGTAGGAATTAGAAACAAAAGGGTACAAGGGATCAATTTTGCAACTTCAATCCATCAGGGTAAAAGAATTACAATTGTAGTATCACCATCTACATATTGATAAACCCTAACGGTCGGTGTGTTCAATATTAGACAAAATCAACCAAGGAGATGAGCCAATGCTAGGAATAACTGAAGTTAAATCAAGCATTTTCATACCAACACCTTCTAGGACGGGGCAAGCCAAAGAAAGGAAACAAAAATAATATCAAGATTATCACAAGACAACTCCTATATTCTTGGGGATTTCCAATAACATTTGGTCTACTGCCAAATTCCTTTTCCACCAGATCCTGCAGGGGCCAAATGGTTGAGTTCAGAAAAAAGATCCCACAGAGACAGGAAAAGATGGTCCGGGGTACTCAGATCATCCCAACCTGCATTGATTATTTAAACCAATTCTTCTACCTTCCCTCCCGTGTTTGTGCTTTATAAAACCCGTAACCACTAACCAGCTTCCTCAATTACAAATGAAAGATAATAAAACAAAAGAGAAGAAAATGATTATCATAAAACTGAAGCAAATGAAATATTATATTACAAGTTCCGTATACTTAATTTTCTTACATTTTCTCAACGGCCAAAAAGAATTGCCCCAAGTTTTCAAATAACTGGAAATAAATTATTGAGGCTATGAATGAAGCAAAATTTAAAAAAAAAACCGCATTAATCTTCATCTTGTACGCAAAAATAATGGGATTGGATAGAGCAGAACAAAATCTAGACCAACAAGTTTCGTGTGAACGTTCTTAGAAAGGAAATTTGTAATGCTGCAGAGAAATGCACAGCATGAGATATTAGCAAGAGCCGAAGTTAAAACAAACTTACTAGATTCTGGAGATAGAAAGCCTTGAGGGGATTAAGCGTGACATGATGGCTTTGGAGGCAGAGTTGATGCAGAGCACTTGAGAAGTTTGGTATATTCAGACGACGGACCAGTACGTTTTGAGAGAAGGCCGGGGGACACATGGCACGTAGTGTTGCTGACAGGTACCGAGTGCATGTGGCTTAATATCTACCTAGAACAAGCATTACAAGAAGAATTTGTTTTTACACCAAATTACATTTAGCCCCCTAAATTAGGCCTCCTTTCCACATTGTCCCTAAATAATTCATTTTCTGAACGTAAATTTCACATTGCACCAATTGTTAACTTCCACCCAAATTTCATTGAACATTGGCTGAAAATGGAATCCCTCAATGGAATTCCTTCTAGATGAGAACGGAAAGATAACATACCTAAAGTTATAAAATTTCATTTTTTATTAGTTTGTCATGACAAAATGTGCAGAAGTTAACGATTTGAATGATTATATAGTTTGAGGTGCAATATGATAAAATGGATAGTTTAAGAGACAATATGAAATATGAAAATAATTCTAAGGTATAATTGTAATTTTCTCTGTTATTATTTGACAATTAATTAGAATGCGTTTGGTAACGTTTTCGTTTTTATGTTTTTTTTTTGTGATAAAAATTAAAAATTTAAAACACGTTTGGTAGTCATTTTATATTTAAAAAATTGTGAAAACAAAAATAAAAAACATATTTGGTAATATACCAAAAATTCATTACCCAAACCACACAACCCAACCCTACTGAGTTCCCGAAACCACCACCCAACCCCACCATCGAACGCCACCATCCAACCTCAAATGTCAGTTTCATCGAATGTAACCACCCTTCTCTTCCTTTGTTTCATTATCCTCTTGTTATGTCAAGAAACCATGATCTATGAATAAAAAAAGGAATTAAATAAGCTTGTAAAGCAATAAAACATGATCAATTAGATTAATTCCAATTAATTTTTTTTGATTTCAATCTCTCTTCCTTAAACCATTGACGGGGTGTATCTCAGCAAAATTGATTGAGACCCCTACCTAAAACCACCACTCAACCCCACCATGGAAACCCACTACCCAACCCCATTGACCACCCCCCACCACTGAAAATCTGAAAACCACCGAAACCCACCCCCCCAATCCACCCCCCACTGCCACTGAAACCCATAACCCCACCCCCACCATTGAAATCCACCACTGAAACCCACCCCTAATCCACCCCTACAACCACCGAAAACCCACTCCCAATCCACCCCCCCCCGTCACCACCCACAAAACCCAATCATGAAACTCCCAACATAACTTGTCAGAGAAAGGCGATATAGAGAGAGTGTGTGTGTTGGCTCTTTTGTCCTCCTTCGTAGCTCTTTGTCACTGCCTGTGAGAGAGATGAACAAGGGAAGAGGAAAAAGGGGTAAGAAATGCTTTTTATAGTGGGAATTGAAAAAACCCTTTATTTTGCGACTAATGGAGTTCGAAAGCTAAACCTCATTAAATAGTTTAAAAGGGCACACGTGTTTCATTTTTTCGTATTTTCAAAAATACCTCTTTTGATGTTTTTAAAATTTGGAGTTGTTTACAAAACAGACCAAGCAAAAAAAAATAAAAACACTCTCCAAATGCGATAGTGTTTTTTTTTAGCAAAAAATGAAAACAAAAACATAAAAAAACACAAACACCGACTTACCAAACACCACTTTAATCATTCAGACCCTCTAACATTTGAAATATTATATACAGACCCTTGAAGTTTGAACATACGCAACATTTGGACCTCTACCGTCAATGTCCGTATATCTATTAATAAATTATATTCAGAGCCCTTAAAATTTGTAGGCGTGTCATACTTAAACTTCTCAAGTTTAAAATGTTATACTTAAACTAAAAATACTCCAATTAAAAATAGAATATTAAATATTTTAAATTTGACAACTAAAATTCATATTTTATTATGACATTTATTGAAATAAAATAAAAAATAAAAATCTATTTTCTTAAGAAATCATAATTAGTATACAATTATACTATCTATTTGAATTTAATTTGGTTGTTTAATCAACCAAATTAAACTACCACATTATCCCAATTAAAGTTAAAATAAATTGTGTTCATTACAATTTGACCCCTTGTTTGATTTTTTTTAGTTTTATTCTAATAGATAGTATAATTGTATATTAATTATAATCTTTTAAGAAAAAATAGATTTTTATTTTTGATTTTATTTCAATAAATGATATAATAAAATATGAATTTGGTTGTAAAATTCATGCTCGATTATGAATGACTTAGACCATTTATTTGAGTTTTTAGTTTTATTCCAATTGATAGTATAACAGTATACTAATTACGATTTTTTAATAAAAAATTAATTTTTTATTTTTTATTTTATTTCAATAAATAATATAATAGAACATGAATTTTAGTTTTAAATTTAAAATACTTGATATTCTATCGTTGATTGAAGTATTTTTTATCTAAATATAACAACTTAACCTTGAGGGGTATAAATATTATACGCCTATAAACTTAAGGGGGTTGAAGTGTCATTTAATAACAGATATGCTAACAGACATTTGACAATGGGGGTCTAAGTGTTACACGCGTACAAATTTCAGGTGATCTGTGTGTAATATTTCAAATATTAAAGTGTTTGAGTGATTAAATAACAAATTTCAAGGGGTCTGGATATAATTCTCCCTTTAAAATATGATGTAATTTCTATTTTGTTTCTAAATTTTTATTCAAACTCATTATATACTTGCTAAGAATAAGACAACAAAAATCAACAAAACTAATAGAAAAAAAAAAGAACAAATAATTATAAGTAATTTGGTTCAAAAGCCTATATATCATTAAATATGGAACACAATTAATTTTGTGCACAATATTCTAGACTTAGAAGTGATCTTTATTTTAATTCAAAATCTAACGATTTATAAAAAATGTCAGGAATTTCAATCCTCACTCTAAGTAGTAATTGAAATAATACCATAAAATTAGGATTGTAATATAAGCAAGCAAAAGTGTAATATAAGCAAGCAAAAGTGTAATTTATCTTTTGTGAAATTTAGCCATCCAACTATACACAGTGAAAATACAAGTACATTATAGAATAATATAATCGTTATTGGTACCTATTGAGCAACATCATTACACATTTTAGACTAATACGAAAGTTTTATACTCGATGTTAGTATGCAATGTCATTTATCTTGTACTATAGTGTTTATCTTCTATGGTAGTATGCATTCATAAGAAACTATTGTAACATTCTAAAATTTTATAGAATAAGAGTTTAAATTGGGAATGAAATTTTAAGGATTATTGAGGATTAGAATTTTATGTGACCAAAATAATCTATTTTTTAAAATTTCAAATCCATACATGACAACAAAAAATGAATTGCTCGTGGAAAGACGAGTTCAATGACTATTTAAGTGTGGACAAGTGCTGTGGAGGGTGAATTAAGGGCTTGACAAGTTTTCTACGTGGGTCACTTTGCATGGCATGATGGGTTTTAACACTATGAAGTACAGATACGGATACGGATATAAGATACAGATACGATACGATATAGATATGACGATACGATAAAATCTTAAAATATAGGATATATATACAGTCAAGATACGACTATAATAAAATATATTTAATATTTTTATTATTTTCAACGAACTTAATATTTATATATTTTAGTAGTTCTTTAACACAATAAGTCAACTTAATAATTCTTTTTAATTTCAAAAAAATATATATCGTATCACTATGGTATATTTACAAAGTGAAGTGATTAATTAA